GGCATGAAAGTAAAGCACATGACTCATGAAGAAATGCAACAAGCACATTTGTATATCTTGAATAACACCAATGATGTTCAAGATTATTTGGATACACACAAAAAGGAATTAAGAGATCAGTATCCTGAAAAGGATGATAAATGATTGCTAAGTGGGCACAATAGACATTTTTCACTTTGGTTTAGGGCAAAGGTAGAGGATAGTAAGAAGTCTAATGTTTCAGAAGCAATAAGACGATTAGCTAGTGGGCCTAACTTTGATGTTACTACTTGGAGTGCATATGACATTAATGGATATTCATTCTATACAAAAATACAGGATGATAATAGCATCATGCAAAATAGTGGGGTAATGGTAGTGGCTAAAGCAACTCATTTTTCTAGTACAAAAGATAAAAATCCAATATTGACATCCTCGTCATATTTTAGGGTCATTGAAAAGATATAGGAAGTTGACTATTTCAAATTTAAGGTGCCTATTTTCAAGTGTAAGTGGGTTGATATTAAAAATAGTGTTCAAGAAGACAAGTTGGGTTTTACTTTAGTGGATCTTAATAAGGAAAAACATATGGATAAGCCTTTTATAATGAAAACTCATGCAAACAAGTGTTTTATGTCATCAATCCAGCTGATAAGGGGTTGTATGTGGTTCTATTGGGAAAAAGTCTCCTTACTCATGGTGAGAATGATGAAATAAATTTTGATATTGAAGAGATTCCTCTTTTTGTGCTAACCTTGCCCCTATTAGATCTGGAAGATAAAGACGACGTATATGACGTTAGAACTGATCATAATGAAGGTTTATGGGAGAACTAAAATTTTTTATAATGGTAACAGAATATAATAGGATCTTTTTTGATTCATTTTATTTTGTTTTTTATACTTTCATTTTTATATTAATTTAAATTTATTATGTTTCTTGCCACTGACCTTATTTATCTTATTTATTTTAGGAAAAATATGGAGAATCCCGTCATTGACAAGACAAATTCTAAAAGAGGTAAAAGAGGGGCCACATGACTTACTAAATTGGCCCAAATTCATGGAAGAATTCATCTTGATTTTTATGACAAAGGCCAACAAATTGATAAGAAGAAAGGAAACATTTTTAAAAGCTTTGTGAGTTTGATGGCACGTCAAAAAATCAGCATCTTGGAGGAAGAGTAGGATGATGTAAATGAAAGTGACAAAAATGATGTTTGGAAAACTATATTAGTATTTCTTATTGCTATACGTTACATCTACTTTTTATTTTGAAATATATGTTATTATTAAATTTATTATTGACGTGTATTATTTTGTAGATTACTAATGACATCAAGGAAACTCCATTTTTAAAAGACAAGTGGCTAAAGTATGCTGGAGACCAATGGAGTGATTTTAAGTCCAAGCTCACCAGAAAATATGTCTTTGCTAAGAATGGCAATGGAAATGATGATAATGACAATGATGCCAACATGAAAAAATCTTGGAAGAAATATCCATTCATTGATTATGACACATGGATAAAATTTGTTCATAGTAGACATGATCCCAAGTTTTTGGTAAGTGAAAGAAGAATATGATAATTTATTTAGTATTATGAAAATTCATTTTTAACAAATGCTTTTCATTATTTGTTTATAGGAAAATGTCAAAAAGGTCAAGAGCATCAAAAGAAAAATCTATAGAATCATACTATGTCTCGAGGATGGTATGCATATATTTATGATATAATGAATCAAGAGAAGTGGGATGCTAAATGACAAGTGGCGGGAGTTAATAATATTGAAGATGTTTCTCCTCCATCTCCTGTTAATCGTGCTTAAGCACAGAAGAGAGGACGGATGAATAAAAAGGAAGAGTTTATTTCCCCGAAGGCTAAAGAAATGGCTGAGAAAATTATAAGTATTTTTATAGTTGATATCTTAATCATATGATTGAAATTATATATTAATGATAGGAACTCCTACAATCAAAAGAATCTTTGAGTTCCAATCCCCAACCAATGCAAGATGATTTGAAATGGTTGACTTCAGTGGTGGTTGACATGAATGAATTTTTCAATGAAATAAATGTAACCAAAAAGATTATTAGGAAGCCTATTACTTTTACAGTTTCCAAAAAAGATATTAATGACCTCATTATTTTTGAGTGGTTGGACTTGTCAATAGTTCAAATTTTTATCATGCAAGTATTTATTTTTATTTCTAAATTTATATTTGATATTTTATTTTATTGCTAACGTATGTCTAATTATCAAAGGTACCTCCACAAAATATACACCTATCTCAATGTCGATGATAATTATGGGTTCTTGTCTCTACTTTTAACCTCCATCGGTAAAGTGAATCAAAGAGCTTCTTATATTGAAAAGATGATGTGTAAGCAAAAGAAGAAATGCTAGTTTTTACCAATTATTGAAAGGCATTAAATTTTAAATTCATTGCTTAATTTATAAAAAAAATTGCTTGATTATGTGATATTAATATAAATTAATATATTATAACCATTATTGGATGCTTCCTATTATTTGCCTGTATGAAAATACTATATACTGATTTTATTCACTAAAAAATAAAGTAAGCGGCAACATGAAGTCTTTGATTGAATTTGTAAGTTTTTAAATAATTCTATTTTGTGTTATTAATAATATAAATTTAATATTTTCTAAGTATGTATATTTGGTAAATAGATCTTTAGCAATATATTGGCAATCAACAGGAATGGTTGACAAGAAAAAAAATGAAATCAAGTTTGTACCAATGCAAGTAAGTATTTCAAATTTATTCCTTAATTAGAATGAAGATTATAATATTGGTTTAATGAATCTAATTATTTCTATTTTTTTATAGTGTCCTCAACAAATAGGAAGTGTAGAGTGTGAATATCATATGATGATTTTCATGTATGAAATTATCACTTAAGGTATTATTCACTCATTTGATCAGGTAATAATTTGTAAATAATGATATATAATTATGAAGTTTGCCATAGACTTAAGTTATTATTCATTCGTATGTTGTTATTGAATTTGCAGTACTTTCAAAGTTTATAGCCATATTCTAAGCAAGAGTTTAGACATATACACAATTTGTGATCTAGTTTTTTCTCAGAATTAATAGGATTAGAGTAGAAATTTTCTAGATATTTTATATTGAAAATGTAAATTTAGTTCATATGTTTGCACTGGATATATTTGTATTGGTCTCTGGAGCTACTGTTTCTATATTAATGCAGGTTTTTTAAGCAAGAGATGTATATAAGTATAAGTGGTATGAGTAAAAAACAAGTATTTACAGCCACAGTTATTGTAATAACTGTGGTAAAAATTCATTTATGGCGATAGTTGTAGCTAAGATTGTGGCCATAAGTGATCTCAAAAGTAATTTTTTGCCACAAGTGAGCTCAGACCTATGGTGAAAGATATGATATTTCGCCATAGGTAAGCTGAAACTTGTGGCGAAACATACCATCTTTTGCCATAGGTCCGAGCTCACCTATGGTGAAAAATTATATTTTTCTCCTATTTTTCACCACAGGTGGTCTCAAACCTGTGGTGAAAGATGGTAATTTTCACCACAGGTTTACTGAGACCTATGACGAAAAATAATATTTTTTGCTATTGTGTTTTTCACCATAGGTGAGCTCAGACCTATGGTGAAAAATATGATCTTTTGTCACAGTTTCTTTTGACCTGTGATAAAAAAATGTCTATTTATTACTATACAATCTTCTACTATATAGCATTTTCTGTCACTAAAAATACATTTTAACTGTAGCAAAAAATAATTTTTTCACTAGTGAGTAATGTTAAACTGAACATTACAATTATAATTTATTATTTTATTTTATTGCTATCTTATTTTTTATGTCAATAAAATAAGATATTATTATCATATTAGTATCTTTTTAAATTTAAGTTATTATTTTATTATTATTTTTAGGGCTTTATAAAGGGTTAGGATTTTTATTTGTGTTCAGCTTTTGATTATTGTTGAATAAATTTTTTTGAAAGTTTTAGTATTCCCCACCTTCTTTCTCCCTCTTCTCTCTCCTACTCCTTTCTTTTTTCTCTCTCTTCCCCCTTCTCATTTCACATCGCATGTGTGTTGCTTTCCATAGATTTCAAGATATCTTTACCAAGTTATAGTTTGAATTATTCAAGTTGCGGTTCAAGGAATGTGCTCTTCATATTGGGCCTCAAAGCCCCCATCCCCAATGGTTATGTTTTATCTATGATTTGGCATTAGGACTATCTTTTGTTTACACCTTGCTTTTTCTTTCATATATTTATGCTTATTGCTGTTGATACAACAGGCTCTTCGTTTGATGGTTAATACATATATATCTATTGAGGCCCCAAGGAAAAAAAAAATCATAAGGTAACGTTTGGGAGTTTTCTTTTAAGATGGAATAGGATTGCTTGACCCCCCCAAAAAAAAAAAATTTAAGGGGTCAAGGATGAAATAATATGATATAAATAATATTATTATAAAATTATCCTCATTCTTCTCACCCCCTCTCACTCTTTCACTCCCCCTCACCGTAAAACTAAGAGATAGAATTATATATAATTCAAGTCTATTGAGTTTATAATTATTCTTAAATAATGATTAAATAAAATTATTTATTCCTTTAATAAAACTTCCAAAAAATAAAATGTTCCATTCCAGCCCAGTCCACTCCATCCCATTCCACCCTATTTCATTTTATAAATGATCGTTCCTTTCTATTCCATTATATACCCTCAAATATACCCTAAAGTTTTGATCGTGCTTGGTTCAATTGGTAGAAAGAGTTAAATTAACTTATCTTAAGTCTCAAGTTTGAATTTTAATATATACAATCGCATTAAATAAATATGTGTCAAAAACATCACAAAATACTTGAGGCTATTATTGGTAATAATGATCACACGATGGTGAGAGTTTGTATTAGTCTAGGTGTGGTAATACCCCCAAGTTTTCTAGGATATCATGATGGAATAAAAAAATTGATAAAAGATAACAATAATAAATAAGAGCATCAAGTAATTAATCGAGTGTGATTATGATTCTGGTTAATCAATTAATGCTGCTTAAAAAAGAAGCATTCTAATGATTAAAGATACAGGCATGAGGCATGTACAATAATTATGAAACTTAATTAACACTGCACCACCACCATCGATCTTAACTAATAAATCTAATATTAATAACAACAAACAACAACAACAAATAAAGAGACTGAGGTCAGATCTCCATGAAGAAGGAGTCTTAAGTAATTAATTAATTAACATGGGGCTATATATATAGCTAGAACCTAAAAATACTTGCGAAAGCACACATGCGCACATATATTTATTATTATTATTATTATTATATATATATATATATATTTATTCAGGAATGGTGTATAGCATCATGAGCAATCAGCCTTGAAATTTTAGCAGATTGACTGCTCATGATATTATAACATATCCATGAATATATATTTTTGAAGTTTAATTAATCTCTTTGGATTACCTCTTGCTTTGTGTGCTTTCAAATTAACCCTCCATTAATTAATTCTAATTAATGAATTAATTTGAATTAATTCATCGAAAGCCTCCTCCAAGAGCGGGAGCCCAGTAATCAGCTCCATTATCACTTCCAACTTGAAGCGTGCATGAAACTGGCACCAAACACAACCCTCTACTCTTCAGATCCTTCTTTGCTTCTTCCTGTAATTCCTGCAACTAATTAATTAACCACTATATTAACATTATATTAATTAAATATTATTACTATCTTAATTAATTCAAAATTATCTTTAATCCAGTATTGTACTGCTAGAAATTATATATTGGATAACAAACATTATTAATGTGTTCTCTCTTTGTTTCGATTACCTGTTCATCATCTGCTTTCCTCTTCAAGCCATTTCCATTCAGCAACTATGTATAAGTAAAGAAATATATTTTAAAAAAACGAGAATTTCATGCATGATCATTTAATATATATAAATTACAGTGACACTTGTATATTATTAAGTTCGTTTCATGTCAGAATAACTTTAGACCTGATAACGCTGGTGGGATTTTTCTTAAGTTAATTATCAATTTTAATATCTCTCTATTAGTTAATAAAATGTAAGGTGAAGTAGAGGAGCTTTAATCATAGGGAAAATTGCAGAGAAGGACTTGTTAAGTAAACTATGTGAAGAAAAGGACTTGCAGAACATGGAAGAAAACGTATGGAATCATGGAAGATAAAATGCAAATTGGGGAAGAAAAATTACCAATTTTGGATCTGGTCCTTTTCCCCAATTAATTTGCTTATTTAGTCCTTTTCCACAATTTTCCCTTAATTATATATTTTAATGATTCAAAAACACTCAAAACCTGTATAAGGCGTAATCGATCCAATGAAAAAATCATACCTGACCAGGGTCTTCAGGGAATATACAATTCTTCTCTCCTTGAACCTAACAAACCAACAACAACAACAAAATTTCCATAAATCATCAGCTAATTAATATATACCAAATAATTAGCCCATTCTAATATGCACATGCAGTGAGAAAGAAGCTTCAGGAAGGAGCAGTGAGTGGAAGAGAGGGAAAATTTTATTATTTGTGCTTTAAAAAGTGAGATATGCATATGACAAAATAATATTTATTAAATGTATAATAAATATTTTACCCATTCACACTACATAATATAATATGTTTTATTAAAAAAATTATATCAAGTCCACATGCAGCAAAACTATTTATTATAAAACATAAACCGTGCAACTTCCATCAGACCTTGTGAAAAACATAGATATTTACAGTCTAATTTAGAACGTTAACATATAAGAAGACATGGGATATCAATGTGATCTATGGTACTATTTCTTACAGAGCGATGGTTCCTCATGTTTGATGATGATGATCCAGTAGTAATGGTGCCCAAGTATGGTAAGCTAAGGGCCTGCAAGAAAGAAGAATATTGAGAACTTCAATAAGTTATAAGTAAAGGAACTGAATTTTCAAAGAACAATGAGAAATGGAACTAACTTTTACAGCGTGCTATCTATCACTGACTGATGCTTGTTTGAAAGAAATAAGGAAAGAAGGAAAAGAAACATCACCTCAATATGACTCTGAAGGAATCTGATATATCCTATAGCTTCTAACAAGACAGACGCTGTATCAGTCTGCAAAAGTGAAAGAAACCCCACACCCACTATTAGTCAATTATCAACATTAACTATTCCTTCTTCTTTTTCCAAAATATATATATATATATATATTAATCTACTCATTAACAGTGTGTTACGAGTCTGGAGTTTCATTTAAAAAGTGGGCTAAAGAGTTTATTATTATATATATATAGATATATATATAAAATTTTTTGTGTTTAAACTTTTACTCAATATTCTATCAACTTTTATTTTGAACGACTTAATTGCTATAATTTCTTAATTCAAAACAACTTCAGTTATTATAGTTTCTTGATTTGATGCATCCTTAATCCTTATAGATCATTAACTCAATAAACTAAAATTAAGAGAAAGTTTAAGGATTAAAAATTATACTATTCGTGTGTCCTCTAATAGATTAATTTTTGTTGAGATGGGCTCTCTTCTCTTTTGGACCTCTCAACACCGTATAATTCATTTAGCCGAAGAGAGATATACACATAATAACAGGAAGTAGGCTCCACTTGCTCCTACCACACGGCATGTATCTTGTATGGATTATGTAAGTAAAGGGTTGAAGAAGATCTAAAAATTATTAATTATTGATATAATTAAATAAAAAAATTAGAAAGTTTAATAATTACCTTTCCAAAGGGGGAAACAAGTTGATGAAGGGCTGTAATTCTGTCACCTAATTTCTCCTTTCTAACCTGAAAATGAGAAAAAGAAGAAGATCGAAGAAAAGCATGAGTCAGAGAGACTGGACTGGCATGCACATGTGCTTGAAAGTTAGTTAAGCAATTTGTGTGTGGTAATTGTGTGAGTTTGGATTCGCATGCTGCAAATAGAACTGAGGGAGAAAGAGATAAAGAATCGTCATGATTGGATATTGGACAAGCATGAAAGACAATAGTTAGCACCCACATGATGATGTTTTTCATGTGCGCTTATGTGGTTTGTCTACATGTCGTTAAAAGAGTTTGGGGCCTTAGGGTATAATTCATTGGAAGTTTCTGTCTAGCCGTATTATATGGTGTGTGTGTGTGTGTGTGTGTGTGTTGCTCTTAATTACCTTGAAGCTAGACTGTGTCGTCGTAGATGGTTGAACCCTAGCTTTCTTCACTGCTCCACCACCTCCATTGCTGTTACACTTGAGAAACAGAGAAAAAGGAAATGAATCCAATTCAAATTTTAAACTAACGAACTTTTTATTGTATCTATAACTCAAAAAGATAAAATATTTTAGATATAGTGCATATAGTACGATCAAGAATTTTGTGTTTCAAAGTAAAAAAGTTTTACCGTTAGAAAAGAAAAGAGCACTTTTCTAATTAATGACGGGTGGAAAAAAAGACAAATTCTTAGAAAATTATGAAATCTGATAATTTTGTTACCTCAGAAGATCGATCTGGAGGAGGATGCCTAGACTCTATCTTAGTGGTAGAGAAATCCAACATGTTGCTGCTGAAACTTGTGACACAGGATTGTGGAGAAGAAGCAGCAGCTGGAGGCACTATCTGATGATGATGATGATGATGATGAGACCAAATAGCAGCAACAGTACCACCACCTGGTTTAATGGCCGTTGCAGCCACTGGAAACTCTTCGTTACTGTTGCCGCCGCCATGTCCTCCATACACATAACTGTTGGCCGGTGAGGTCTCTTGCTTCACATCCACAAGAGCAACATTTTGAGGCTCACTCATCAGCACTTGCTCCTCCCAGTTTCCCATTTTCTTACCTTCTTCTTCTTCTTCTTCACCCCTATATATATAATATTGTTTTATTAATCAGATCCTTCATAATCTTACAGACAACTTCAGTACTACAACCTTACTCAATCAAGAGAGAGACAGAGATAGAGATTACATAAGAAGGTTGCTCCAGGAATCAGGAAGCTGATCTTGATTGGCATGCCAATTAGAAGGGAAAGGTGGAGAAGAAGCTGGTGGATATGGAGAGATGAAGTTATTGGATGATGATGGTAGTGGTGATGAGAAGAAGAAGAAAGGAGAAGAAGATGGTTGTTGATTATTATCAGAAACAGGAGGCCTCATGGTATGGTTGATGTTCCACCAATTAGGGTTTCCGGCCGCCATCATCATTTGTTGCACCGGCGAGCTCTGAACAACGCCTCTATTCATCTCCCTTCTCCTCCTTCTCCTTTCTTCGTCTTCTTCAAGAACAAGTATTTCCTTTCTCTCTCTCTCTCTCTCTCTCTCTCTCTTTCCCTTTCTTTCTTTCTTTCTTTTCTCTCTACTTGTAGAAACTTCGTGAGGTCTTCTTGTTGGTGTTGATTAAGTATATAGCTATATGGGTAGGAGAAAAAACAGAAACACTATTAGTTATTGCTTATAAGCTATGGATAGCTCATCTTGGTCCTGTTTTTGAGAGAATTTATTTAATTTGAATAATAATAATCATTTATAGAGTTTTGAGAACCTTTTTTCCTTTTTCTTTTCACCCACCTCTCTCTCTCTCTCTCTCTCTCTCTCTCTTCTTTTCTTTTCTTTTTATGATTTAATTTATTTTTCTTTATTGTCTTACTTTTCTCCTCTTCCATGGTTTTCTTTTCTTCCAATGCTTTTACATTCCCCCTCGCTCGCGCTTGCTTTTTAGCTTAGCTTTATCTTAAAGTGGGACACAAAAGATGGTAGCAATTCCCATAATTAAGAAAACCCAAATATTCACCCTACCAATGTCACTCTCAAGTGCATCAATTTTCTATCTTATGTACTTACGTGGCGTCCTATCAACCCTCATGTATTAATTACTCCCTTCATTTTAATTTAAAAAAATACCCTTCATTAATAAAAGAGAGGGAGAAGGAAATTTATTTAAACCAGGAGCGAAATAATAAGTAATATTGAAATAATCATCAATAATGAAATTTTTTTCCCAAATGTCCTCGGACATGTTTGGTTTCTATTTTAAAAAATTAAAAAAAAATCCTTTGGATAGCTATTTTGAATTTAATTTTTTTAGATTGTTTTCATTTTTTAAAAAAACATCTTAATGTTATTTCCATTTTATTTTTTTTATTTTCAAAATACATTATATTTTATTGTTAAAAATTACAGTCACATTGATCAATTACTATCATAAGTTACTACCATTAACCACCAACAATTATTACTATTAACTGATTTTTAAGTATAAATTTTTTTTAAAGTAACACAATAAAACATTTTCTTTTTATTTTATTTTGATAAACAGTTTTGAAAACTATAAGGTGCAAAAGAATTTTTAAAACAAAAACCAAACAGGCCCTTCTATTTTGAGACATCAAATCATCTTCAAGTGTCTTATAAATTACACACACATTCATTTAACATGATTGACACCATGTTTGGTTTGCGGTTTACAAGACCTAATAAACTTGTAAATGAAATAGCTTTCCCAACCAACTTGTTTAGTTCCCGGCCGTTTCAATACATGTTAGGATATATTTGCTACTCTCAGTTCTACGCTTAATTAGCAAATAAAATTTATTTAAACTTGAGTTTGCAAACTCTAATCCAGATATAACATGCTTACTTAGCAAAAAAATCGATTCTAACTTAAGTTTGCAAACACTAATCCAAATGCCCACTGAATTGATACTCCCTTCATCTTTAAATATAAGGTATTTTTAATAAAATTCTACATATCAATAAAAATTGATTATTTAATTGAAAGCACATAAAACCAGAATATTTTTTCAGTTTTATCCTCAATAATGTCACAATTTATATAATTGTCATAGGTAACATATGAAATTAATATCCCCTACCTTTCTAAGACAATAGAGGCAAAATTATCCAATTATTTTAAAATGTCATGATGCCTGATGCCACTTATATTTAGTATAAATAAATAAACCTTTAGAAAACACCCCCTCTCCCCCCCGGCGCGGCCACATATATGGATGGAAGGATATATAACAAGATGCGTGCAATTGAGTTGAAAGTATTGAATTCAAGTCTTGATAATAAATAATCATATCACAAAAACTAATTAATCCATTTGGGTTTGATATGGTTTGAATTTAAATTAGTTTTTTTTTATAAATGGTCAATATTACATACAATAAAAAGAGAAATTACAAATATAAAGTGTGATTACCAATGAAAAAGGATTAACAAGTTTGTAATTATATTGGCCACCGAAAATTCTCAATGAACACGAAAATGAAGGTGAACAAGTTTTAGTGGTTGCAAAATTATACACGATCCCATATTAGGGATCTTCTTAAACGAATTACGTAAGTTTGAATTAGTTGCCAATGGATATGTACTAATTATAAATAAATAATTGTAAGGAAAAAAAAATAAAGGTATATAATTTGGGGAAACTTGACTACTTAAGCTAATTAGTACACTTGGTACACGCACTTTCTTATCGAGACTATATATACCCATCTTGACTGCTTAACTTTGAATTCATAATTACTCATTCCACATAAAGAAGTCGTCATAGTTCTTTGAGTCTCGCTGTCTAATTTTATGTATTTTGGGCTCAAAAAAGTTGGAAGTGATGAGCCAAACAATTTTGACTTGCTAGTCCTTTTTATATCTTAATAAGGAATGTACGTGATTTGTTTCAAATGTAACTCTATTTTGAGAAAACTAATTATAATAATTATAAAACTTAGCGTATGATCATAACTAAGCTTAATTATATAGAGGACATACAATTTACTATGTTGGAGAAAAATCATTCCTAAACGTAAACGTTTTAATGATTATATATGCTATAAAAGAATATATATATATATATATATATATATATAGTATCATGAGTATATCATGCATATTATACACAAGAACAAATCAATCAAAGAAATTGAAAGATACATATGTATGTATACTGGAAATGTAATTTTTTTTTATTTTCCTCCATTTTCAGAAAACAATAATGGAGATGAACGCCATTTAATTTAATTTGAATCATATTTAATTAATGTAGTGGTTTAGTAAATTTAGTGAATCAATTAGATTAATGTAAAGTATATGTGTGCACGTACAACAAATCTAGGAAATCGTCTAAAACCGTACGGCCAGTTTGTGATTATAAAAGAAGTCTCTTTTCTTATAAAAACTATAAATATGACATTCAATGAATTAAAGTTGAGGATCACTTAACAAATATTTTTTTTATTCATTTAACAAGTAAAATTAAAGATGTAGGACAATATATAATTTCCTAGATAATAAAAAAAAAACAAAAGCTTGGAGAATCTCAGACGCAAGAGCAAGTTGTGCTACAAATCACATTCTATAACCAACTATCGTACATATTATTATATGATTATTATTATTGTTATACTATTAGCTAGGTTTATAATAAATAATTAAATTATATATCGGAATAACGTTTGCCTAAAGGAATTGTGTGTGTGTGTGTGTTTGGTTGAGGACCAATTGTCTTACCTTCTTTTTCTTATTTTCTACTTGGTGCTTGATTTTTATGTATAATACGAAGCAAAAGTGATAGACAAGTCAAAAGAACCACTTCACTGAGGATTCTATCATTGACCCATTAAACATTACTTCACAACGCTGTCAACGACCTCACTGTTCCTATGATTTGATATGTTCCTCAACGATAGCCAGGTAACATTATTATTTACTCCTAACTTCATATACATATTTAGAACCGATAATTTGGGCCAAATACGACGGACCAACTCAAACCCGCCTAAAAAATTTAAGCCCAAACTCAAATAAAATAATAATTTTTTATTGTTCGAGCCTATTCAGGCTGCCCGAATAGACTCGAGAAAATTCGGGCTAGGCCCGATTGAGTTTGAACTTGGTTCAAATACCTGAATAGAAAAAATACATTTTTAAAAATATATATAATATAATAAATATTAATTATATTTTAAGTTTTATATCATTTTATTTTAAAATATCATATATTTGAGTGTATTACTATAGTTATTTTTAAAAAAATAAAAATATTATATTTTTCTATTTTTATAATTTTTAATCAAATAAAATATCTCAAAATAATAATTAAAATATATTTTAATATTAATTTTTATACTTTAAGACTCAATCTTTTTTTTAGAAAAATTGAGTCATATACACCATTTTCTTATCCAAAAAATTATATTTTATATTTTTATAAAATAAGATAATTAATTTTAAATTAAAAATAATTTTAAAAATAAAATTTGGGTATGTACAAATTTTGGCTCTATTACTAAACAAACATAATAAATAAACTAATATTTTTAGATAATTATTTGATTATCATCTATATCAGACTTAGTTAAAAATTAAGAATGAACTAAAATTAATACCTTTGTATATAGGACTTAAACAATATAAAATGTTAAAGAAAAAATTTAAAAAAATAATATTTTACCCATAATTAAATGATTTTATTTTATATAATATAATGATGCCTATTTTCTCATATTCTTAAAAATAAAAAGTACAATTTATCTAATAATTGTTAAAAACTTTGAACTAATTAGGACAATAAATTTAAATTAGTGATCTAACCGTAGTTGAATTGAGATTAACTTAATCATAATTAAAATAATATGATTCAATTAAAATATGTAAATATTTTTATATAACCATGATGAGGGAAATATTTAAATAAAAAGACATCAATTTACAAATAAAGGAAACATTCATTAATAAATTATATATAATATAATAAAATAGTAATAGAGCTACTTAAGTACTTAACTACAAAGTTAATAAGTTATTATTTTTTTATTCCTTTTAAGTTAAAAAAATATTTTATGCTTAATAAAATTATTCAAAAATCAAAATTGATTAAAAAATAAAAAATAATTTTAAAAAAATTTTGAGTATTTGGGTCAGCCCAAATAAGCCCGAAGCCCAAAGATGTTAGGGCCGGGCTTGGCTATATGGGCTTTTTAGAAAGAATAGGATTCTTTAAACTCGATCCGAATAAACCCTGCCCAAATTGAACCTGACCTGAATAAGCTCGGCCTGCTTAAATTACCAGCTCTATACATATTGAAGTTGCATTATTTTTGTAAGAAAATGTTTTTTTTTGTAATGTATATACCAAACCTTAAACATGAATCACAATATTTATAACTTGTAAAAATGCAATTTGCTTCACACACACACACACACTCTCTCTCTCTCTCTCTCTCTCTCTCTCTCTCTCTCTCTCTCTCTCTCTCTCTCTCTCTCTCTCTCTCTCTCTCTCTCTCTCTCTCTCTCTCTCTCTCTCTCTCTCTCTCTCTCTCTCTCTCTCTCTCTCTGATTAATATATCTTGATGATGATGATACTCTTTATATTTGTTTTACTTTCAATTTTTATATATTATTTTTTGTCTTAATTATTATAAGTCATTTTT